CCCCTTTTAACCACCCACAACTGCCAGCACAGGACAGTAAATCCTACACCTCACCCACTCACCCAGCCCTGTGCGCTACTATGCACTCACACTAGGTGCACTATGTAGCTTACATGAAAGGAAGCAAGCTTACAATTCTAAACAGCTAATAGTCTGTTCTTTTTTTTCAAAACAGTGACTGGAATAAGCAACTGTTCAGTACCATCATCAGGCATTTGGTGCTGTTGTTCGTCTCTGGTTGCTTCACTATTTTCTACATCTGCCTTTCTTTCTTTTTTTCTGAGGGGCCTTGTGTTGGGTGGGGGTGTTATTTATGGCTGCTCTGTGCAAGTGGACACACACACAAACGCACACACATACCCTTTCACAGGATGAAAGGGCAGTCACACAGCCTGCAAACATGATTTTACAGCCCTGGGTGGAATGAGTGGTGGAGGAGAGAATGAGGACAGAGTACAAAAGGGGAAAGCCCTTAGATTTACAGGTCCCAGCAGTCAGAATGCAAACCATGTAGCAGCACACAGTTTTCAAGCCATTTTTTTTTACCCAAACACAGAAATAACATAACTGTCTTTTATGCAGAAAGACATATGTTAAAATGTGTGTGCAGAGATGCATGGATCCACAAATACATCCAAAAAGGCTTTTTTCATGGTTCGTTTTCTTTTAATCACGACGGAAGACAATTTCCATATGTGATTTGTTCCAGTACCTCAATGTCTCGTGATTTAATATTAGTGTGTGTGTGTGTGTGTGTGTGTGTGTGTGTGTGTGTGTGTGTGTGTGTGTGTGTGTCTGTCTGTGTGTGTACGTGTACATGTGAGAGGAAATATGGAGCTTTGACGGGTTAGAGTATATTTTGTATTTTTTAATTTCCCTGTTTATATATATAATTTCTGATATGTATGTGTGTATGCTTCTGTGTGATATGACCACTATGAGAAATATCAGACACCTTATCAAATACGATTGTGTATCTTTTAAGAGATGTTTGCCTAAAATATATTTATAAATAAATAGTTGGCTATTGTGATTTTGACAATATAAGTATTTATGGTAATAATAACAACATATAATTAACTGAACTATACTATAAGAGGAGGGGATCAGTGGGCCTCAGAAAGAGAAGTCTCTCCCATAGCCAGAGGGAAATCAGGCAAGACATGGATGGCAATGTAATTAAGCAAATGTGTTGTTCCATTGACATCACATAGGGGAGTGACTGTATACACATGATGACTTAATGGGAAGTGGGATGTTTATTCCAGTTTATACTTGGTAAAACTGCAATTAATTAAATCAATTTGGGTTTAAAAGCTCAAGTAAACATTTTATGAGTCCAAAAAAAAGCAGCAGTGACTGCCTATGAAGCACCTACATGCTTTGCCACATCACAGAGTCAGAGTCAAACCAGAGACCTCGTAAAAATCTGGTTAAGGGTGGTGTTCATGGAAGACATAAAATGAAATGCTTGAGAGGAGCCACTACCATTTGTTTTATTTGTAATGGCAGGCTGCTCTTTGCTATAAATGTCTCTTGTGACTGTGATTCAAAACACGCCTTTTTTAATAAAAATAGCGGCTGAATCAACATAAAAGGCTGATGCAAATGTGATGTGTATAAGTAAACCATTTTGGTTGGATGTAAGTGGTATAATGAGGGTTTGTGTTTCAGTGGATTTTCCTCTGGTGAATACTGCCTCTAGTGGGAAATACTGTAATCTGGCAGAGATGCTGGTGAAAAGGTGCAGCCTGGCCTCTGCTGGTAGGAGAGGCTACTGCAGCATTCTTTAGTTAGAATGTATGGTCAACTCAGAGAAATACACAGTTTCACAGGATCATTTCTAAGATATGCAAAGACTGTGTAGGAGAAATTATGATTAATTTAATACATAAAACTAAAACGATTTTCTGGCATTAACCACACAAATTACGAATGATTTAAACTCAGTCACAGTTGAATTCATGTCTTCACCCTGGATGACAAAAAAGTGTTTGTCTATGTGTATATTGTCCTATATTTTGTTATTTTAGATGAAATAGGCCTCTGGATGTCTATAGAATTACAATGCACAAACCAACAGGTCTGTATTTGTAACTGTGTGTTAAAATGTCCATGATTATATTCATGCAAATCCTGACATATCAAAAAGTATTACATGATGGGACTAAACTTGGGGTGATTTATAGCCTCTAGGGCAGAGAGACAGATACAAACTAAAAGAAGGAAGACAATGAAAAGAGTTCAAGTGGTCAACCGCAAACAACAATAAAATCAGCAACAGTGTCAAGGGTCGGCCAAAATGAAATCTTCCAAGTCACATTTCAACCTTTCAAAAACATCTTGCGATTTTGTATAGCTTTTCTTTCTGTCCATCACTGCCTTCTATGGGTTATAACAAGACTTCCTATCACACGCATCTCTGCCTTGTTCAGCAATAAATTCAGTTATGCGTGTCTGACTTCCTTAAAAAAAAAAAATAGTACTGAAACTAAACCTATAATTCTAGTATGATGTAATGTTTCACTGACCTGTTCTCTGAACTGCTCCTGAGAGAGGCAGTCCGTCATATTGACGCATCCCAACAGGCAGCCGGTGGGGTAGTCTTTAGGAAACCTTGGATCTGCACAGAAAACAAGAGCAATCAAGGATCCCCTAACACACTGCGACCAAGTGGTTGATTTCCAAGATGTGTGCACTTCAATAAAAGTGATGTACATCTTGTAGCAAATCACTTCCAGTATTTACAGTCTTGTTCTTGATTCACTGTGTACAGTATGTGTTACCTTGCTTGTAGATGTGGCGGTACATGGCTTCCACCTCAGCAATCTCCTGTGGAGCCGGCTGCTTGGCTGCAGCAGCAATCCAAAGACGCCCCCGATGGGATGAGTACCAAGTCCTCCCCTCGACCCTGCACACACACAAAATGAAATGTAACCTCAGCCTAAAGGAAAACACATCTCCATAAGAGTTTTAAACTCTGTTAGCACTGCGTTTTGTTTCATCTTTCCTTTGCTGCTTACCTCTTGATGCCTCTGACCAGCAGTGTGGCCCACGGTTGGTGCATGCTCAGGCACCAGCCCCCGTCAGCCATCTCCTGCAGGTCCTTGTCTTGGAGCCTCAGCTTTTGACGATCTTCTCCCTTTTCCTCCGCCGAGCTCTTTCCCTGCTTTGTGTTTTTCTTGTAGCTTTCACTGCCTCCGACATCCACCCACTGGAAAGTTTATTCATTTTCAGAGCCATTTTAATGGTAGATAAAGGACTATGCTGACATAGGCCGCATGTATGATAAACAGCTGTTGATTTCAATCCATTTATCTCATGTTCTAATGAAATTGTATATTATTACACTTGTCGAACGAAGAGATATTTTGATATGGAGAGGTATACAATTTCCACTGTTGTTCCCAGTCAAAATGGCAGAAATGACCTACCTCAGGTGCAGCTTGCATTATGTTGGGGTTGACCAGGTCTCCGAGGGTCTGCCTTCCACCTTGTCTCGAAAACATTGGGGATTTTGAAGGAGAGTCGCTCATAGCCCTGAGGGTCTCATCCAACCTAATTTGCATGTCACAAGGATGAGGAGTTTAGCGCGATGAAAAATCTATCATTGCGACCTTGACTCAACGGGTGTGAGATCATCTTACTTGTCGTAGTAGTCGTTGAGGTTGTTTCCTTCATCAAGCACCTTTCTACCAGCAAAGTCCAGCGTGATCTTCCTATCCTTGCGAGAGGCATGGCGAAGGTCTCTCAGCTCCTCTTCCTTCTTCCTCAGCTTTTCTCTCTCATTGGGTGACAACCACTGATTGGATTCAGTGGCAAAGTAATCCGACTCATCATCCAGAACCTGTGTTCTCTTCACACTGGAGTTTAAAAGGGACAATACATACATCATTTACTTTTATCAGCAAGTTTCCTGATTACATTCTGTAGTAATTGATATCTCCATTTAAAGTGTGGACATTGCACAACAAACAGTAAACACGTCTATTACTGTGAAGTTATTTCCTTGATTTAGTGTTTATAATACCTGTTCTTATCATATTCCAGCAGTTTGTCCTTGTGCTGGACAGCTTTTTCCAAGCCAGCCTTCATCTTGGCCTCTTTGTTGGGAAGATAATCTCTTTCTCCACCATCTGTCACCAATTAAAAAAACAAATGTAAAGCATTAATCTACGTCATTGTTTCACAGATGTTTATTATTTAATAATACAGACTATTTTTGTCTCTTACCTCCCATAAGCTTCTTTCTTAGCTTCTGGCTTTTGTTGGAGTCTCGTTGCAGGATCTCCTGCTCCTCTCTTGTGCACACCTGAATCAGAAAAAAGTGCTTTAAGCAACACGAGTACCTCAAAAAATAAATGAATAAGATATATATATATATATATATATA